AATAAATAAAATCTTAAAAAAAAAAAAAGAAAGAAAGAAAGTTGAAGTTCAGAGAAACCACATGACTTGGTACGGTCGCACAGCCAGAAAGAAAGCAAATGAGAACTCCGACTGAAGAGACCGCTAAGGAAACAGTGTCTCACTGTTTGCAGAAAACACACCCAAGGACGTCTCTGTATGCGCTGTAAGCCCCATACCTCCGTGCAAAGCTTTCACAAACATGCGTGAAGGGCAGAGCTCTGCCAAGATGTGCAGAGAGGGGTCTCCACTAAAAGGCTCAACAAATAACCATTATACTTTTGCATTAAAGGGTTTTATGGTGATACATAAAAAAGCGGATTCAATAAGTTTCCACTAAACTGCTAGTGATTTTATTCTCATTCTGCTTGCTGTGCCTACGTAAGTGTAATCTATCCTAGCATAGGGGAAATTTGTATTTGTTGAACTGTTATTAACATGTTTTATATCATGTAAAAATATTTATATCATTTAAGACAGCTACCACAGGGTATCAAGAGCCATAGAGGAACCAGGATATGGTCAGGTAGGCAGAGCGTGAGTCCCAGCTCTGCCACACGCCAGCCGTGTGGCAAACCTCTCACCCACCTGGGTTTGCTTGAGCACAGGATATGCCATTGTGAGGATTAGATAAGATAAAGCACATGGACTCCCAGGCACGCATTTGGTCACAACAGGGCTTCTATCTGGCCCTGTTTCCATTTCTCTTCTTTTAACGGTATCAAAAGAACGGACATTTGTAGAACTCATATAATATGTAAAATGCTTTCAAATAAAGAAGTAACTGGTCGCTTGTACTTATTAAGTAATACTGCTTGGATCAAGAAACACTAGACTTCCAACTGAATCAACTTTCTACTGACTGAGGAGCAATTCACCCAAAGCCTTTGCAGTGCCTTACATGATCCCCCAGGCAAGTTCTGATTTGACTTCTTTCTGTCTGTGTGACCCCAAGCAAGCAAGTCATGTGGTTTCGCAGTCTCCTTGTCTTCAAAATGTGGATAATGTCTATTTCTCAGGTTTGTGTGCATCAGATAAGGTAACTGCCCCCCAATACTGACCTTTTTATTTAGATGAGAGCCTTCCAAACACAAGGACTTCTACATGATGGATTTTCTTCATTAATATCAAGCAAAAATTTGTGCAAAGATATGTATTTCTCTTACTACTTAGGAGCCCTTTTTATTTTGTGAAAATAGAAGCATTGTTATATTTTTCCATAAGTATTTTTTGTAAATGAAGGCCTATAAGTGGTGATAAGTTTCATATTGGGAAACCCTTTTCCTTTCTTTGTAACTTTGCAGAATGTGGTCTCTAGTCTTTATTAGCTCCATTACTTTCCTTTATTATTCATTTTAAGAGTATTCTTTTTTAATATTTAATTTATTTATTCATGAGAAACAAAGAGAGAGAGCGCATGGCAGAGGCAGAGGGAGAAGCAGGCTCCCCGCTGAGCAAGGAGCCCGATGTGGGGCTTGATCCCAGGACCCTGGGATCACAACCCGAGCCGAAGGCAGACACTTAACCGACTGAGCCACACAGGCACCCAAAAGAGTATTCTGACTTCTAAATATCACTCAAGAAAATTTCCAAAGATTGTGAGTTGGCCCTAAATACTGGAAATATTTGTCCCCCTTCTGTTCTATTTTCCATATTTTCACTTGCTTTTTCATCTCTACAGAACTTGGACTGAGAAACTCATCTGCTCTGTGCAATATGCACATGAGTAGTTGTGTGGGATAGTTCGTTTGTACTAAAATGAGATAACAGATGTGAAAGCACTTGGAAAATTTAAAAGCTCTAAGTTGTTATTATACAAATGTGAGTGCAACATTCATTTATTAGAGGTATGCCAATGTGGGAGCATTGCAGAGCTTCTGAGCTAATGAGTCCAATTTAGAACTTTAGAAAAGCAATGTTTTCAGCATGATGGAAACCCATTGTTTAGATGTGATTATATCATTTCGTTCAGTGAGTTAAAAAATGTTCTTGGTACTGAACTCAATTCTGTCTCTCACATATTTATTTAAGATGATTTGATGCCAGAATATTGCTTATATCAGAATAAAGGCAAGCAACAGCCACAATAGTTAAAATCTTTTGCATTCCAAGACAGGTATTTTTCATATTCGTTCAAGTTGAACACAAGTAATTAAACATCACCCTAGTGTTACTTTCGAAAATCATTTGCCAATGAACAAATTTAATAGTGGAGGGGACACTGAATTCATCTCAATTTAACTTCAAGCATTGGTTTTCCAAGTGAAGCAAAGCACTTCCAAACATCTACTGAGCAGACCTCAAGAAGGCAACACTCCTCTGAATTGCTGCCACCACCAAGAACTTAAGGTTTCTGGCCTATGACTAGAATTCCAGATCACTCTGCTACTTGAAGTAGAGGGGTTTCTGAGAACATGGATCTGGCCTGGTGATTTTCTATTAATTGCATTTTCCTTTCCTTTAAGTAAGAAAGCCTGAAAATGGACTTCTATCATTTAGGGGGAAACAGATGGGCTAGGAAAGCCTTGTATCAATGCTACGTAAGCCTCTTGGGAGAAAGTCTCTGGGAAGGAACTTCAGGGACCGAGCTCCTGGTTAGAGAGAGGTATAACTAGCTGCTTGCTTACTGAAATTTTAATTTCTAGTTCAAGTCTTTAGGAAGACTCAATTTTATTGGCTAAGCACATAACCTCAGGGAAGAATGTGGTCTAGAGTGGATATGACAGGTTGTTAAAAAAGCAAATGGATTTAAAAAACCATATAGCAAATGACCAGAAAAGGAAGGATAAGAAAAAGCATCAGTTGAGTGGCTGAGTGGTAGAAAAGCACTTAAATAAAACCGTTCAACAACAAAATCACTGAGTATTTGGTATTTTGACAGGTTAAAGTTTTGAAACTATTTTTAAAAGGTACAAATTCATTTCTCCACAATTTTTGGCATTTCTAGACTAGGAAACATTCTCAAGAGAAACAAATAAAAAACTGCAATTAACACAACTGAAAGAGTTGTGATCCCAGAATCCTTTTTTCTTATTGATCAGATTCCTGCAGTGCCATCTCCTATTTTCTCTGCAGCCAAAGTGCTGTATTGAGCGGCAGGATTTCAGAAAGGTCTGATATGCTCCTGGCTGCCAAAGGTGGCCTATGTCCACGCCAGTCATTCGATCACAGCAAGCATACCCGTGAGGAAAAGAAGCATGTCCACACAGACCCTCCGTGGCTCACCACGTCCATCCACCCACTTATCTCAGCCCCTTTCTGCTTCTGGACCTTTCTCACCTGGCCAGATACAAGTTCATTCAACTTTCTCGAGGGTGAGACCATTCCTCAAAGGGATGCCTTCTGACTGGAGTGACAGGAAAAACATCTGGGCTATTCAATACTGGCCCTAGCTTATGGATCTCATGAAGAAGAGAAGGTAAGGAGGCAATCTTGCTAGGTTACCCGTGAGTGTTCACATGCAGGCAGAGGAGGAATTCATTTCCTCTTTGAAAAAACTGTACTACGTGCAGAAATTTCATAGATTATATGAGGATCTCAGATAGGTGATTCTGCTTTTGAAGTTGGGAGAGTCACTAGTAGCTAATGGTCTTTAGCGAAGGATCCTCCTTTACCCAGGGAAGGGAAAGGTTCAGAAAAGACCCAGTTTGTACTCACACATAAAGACGGCATGGCTCAAAGTTAAAACAAACCATGTCTCTGAAATGCTGTCATTAGAGAAATTTAACCAGATATGTGATCCACAAATACTAACAAGGAGCAGGAAATACCTGAACAGCTTGGGGAAAAAGCTGTTCCTTAAAAGAACATCAGTGAAAACAGAAATAAGGATTAAAAGCTAATACTTAACAAGAGAGAAAGGGAAAATTATTCATTTCTTGTATCTCGTACATTTTCATCTCTCTTCAATATAAGATTGTCCATAATCCTAACATTGCCATTCCCTGCTCAAAGAACCCAGAGAACAATTCAATACTGAGAGAGCTGAAAGGAGTTGCAGTATACCAAACCCTCTCTCTCCAGGGCATTTGCAGGCAGAATATCCATGGTTTCCAGAACATTCTCTTCACATTTTTCTTTCATGAGTGGCAGCACAGAATGTTTACCAAAGGCTTTTCAAAACAGAATCTCACCAAACAGGTCAGAAAAATATTTAACAAGCAAAGCAAAGCAATTACAGTTGAATTTTCACCTTAAGATTCTCATCCTAGGTGTGGGAGGCAGAGAGAAGCCTCTTAACACACCAGCCTGAACCTAGGAGGAGGATGAAAGAGTTGATTCTGCCAGTCGTTGTGAACAAATCCAAATCTTGAATTCTCAGAGAAACTCTAGAGCTAGCTGTCCCTCTGAATGGATGTTAGGAACAGCTCGGCCGTTTGCTCATGGCTGACTCAGGTTTCTGAGCAGCAGTCTGAGGGCAGGCTAGACAAGGACATCTCTACCAAAACCATGGAAAGCTCCGAACAGGAAAGGTTTCTTTTTTCAGTTCTTTGTGTCAGGCAGCATCATCACCTTCAACTCCTCAAGGTGACAATACGAGACGACGCAATTCTGTACAAGTATGTTAACTCAGAAGGAAGTTAACAACATCACGAGGCACTAATATTTCCCTCCGACTTCTGCTCTGTCATCTAACCGATTTACATTTTATAACCCAGACTTTTATTTTTCATTTTCATTTTGAGTCGATTCGTACGTGGTATGACTCCCTGTGGCCCAAAGACTTTCTGGGTGCAACGAGATCAGACAATTTCTCCCGTAAGAATGGATAACAAGGATCTGTGTATACATTCCATTCCCGGGAAGGTCTGCTTCGGTCTGGTTCAAGTTGAGTAAGGAATGAAAGCCAGAGCATAAAATGGTAAAATCCCAGTTGGGTGGACAACAGGCATCCGCTCACTGTGAGCTAGTGTTCAATATCGGAACGCATTACTTGATATGGGGGAAAGGCAAAAACATCACAGAGGCTTTTAACACCTTACCTGGGCCATCTGCCTCTCCAGTTTTGATCGGGGAATATCATCAAAGTAGTTTTCATTTCTTCTCCTCCTTGCATCGCCCTGCATGATAATGTGAGGAACGTCTAGGGAGCCACCAGTGGTGTAAGTGCTTTGGCTAAGTGATGGAGACAACTGAGGAGGAGTGTGATTACCACTGGGATCCTGAATGGAAATACATCATGAAATAAATACCATGTTCTTGTGGCTAACCTTTGCTTTCACAATTGTGAAATACTGACAAGACAAATTGCGGGGGTGGGGGAGTCATTTCTGAATCAACTGCCAAGGAATGGATGACGTCCCGCCATTTTATTGATGGCGTGATCTAGGCAACACTTGTCCCCCTAAGTATTTCAGGTCAAAAGCTTCAAGGATACTCAATCAGGCTCTGTTTTCTCGCACCCAGTGCTACGGAGGAGTTCAGGAGCGAGACAGACATAGGTCGGGCACCCCTGATGTTACCACCGTGTGTGGACGCAGGAAGGAAGTACGTTTTCATGTGGACGGAGTGTCCTCACTGTGATAGACACATGAACAGAGAGCCCCGGTGGGACCTAATGGGTCTTGATTCGCCATCAAAAGGTGATGTGGCAATGGGGCAGGGAAGAGGACACAGCATGGAGACACAGCATGTCACACGCGGACTGCAGAGCAATGCATATAATGACAGAGGATGCGTGTCAACAGCAAAGATGACTCAAGCTGAGGGAAACTGGTCGGAAGGAAGACAAGGGGCGGCAGAAGGCTGGGCTCCAGTGTCTGCAAGTCAGAGGAGGGTTGGATTGTGCTGGGTCTCCAGGCCACTTCTCCCCCAGATGTTCTGGGCCTCCTTTGACAGATTAAGATGCTGCACTCTTTCTGGGGAAACCTCTGTCTTTGATCTGTTTGTTGTTCTCCTAAATCTCTTCCAGGGAAACAGAGGGAGAGGTTCAGGAGGGGAAGGAAAGCGAGCAGCATAAGTAGGAGGAGTTGCTTGTTTAAAGAGGCATTTTAGGATGTTTGCGCTGATGGCACTGACATCTTTCCTTCCTTTCGTGCAGCGAAATGAAGGTGAGACATATCCCTTTCTAGCCTTATTTCCCTCCTGACTTATTTGAGGCTTCCCTTACTAGAAAGATAAGTAGGTCCTATTTCTACTTGCATTGCTCCCAAAACCCCCAACTAGTCTCCAAATGTCCCAGTGTGTCCCAATTCGCCCAGTATGTCCCTCCTGGTTCCCTCCTCCAGCCACATCCCCTGCATTCCCTGACATCCTTGTGCATCTTCTTCTCCTTTAAAAACGGAATCAGACTCAAAATCTTAACAGCCCCTCTCTGCCCGGCCCTCCGCTGTGCTGGCGGTAAAGCCGGGAGGCTGTTTGCTAGAGCTCACTGATGAGGCTTTCTACGGCATTTCATGGCTGGGGCTTCCGCCTAAGTGCCGGGCCCCTGTGCACTGTTTGCTATCCCCACCTTTGCTGACACGTGCAGAAAAAGGATGAGAAGCAAGTGCAGGACTAACTGAAGAGAACAGAGCTGGAACTCTCCAAGCGGCCACTCTGGAGATCCAGAGTTTTTGAAAAGTTCCAATAGGCCTCACAGAACACCCATGCCTACTGGCGGCCCCTTCCCTCAGCTATCTTGCTGGCGATCAGCTCTCGTTTTCTTGTTCTCTCTCCTCTTCCCTTCCTGCCTTCCTTCTCCTTCCACTTCAGTTTTCTCTCCCTTCTGTGGTTTCTCTCTCTAGTTTTTCTGCCCCATAATCCTGAAACGTAGCTGAAATAGTTTCTTAAAGTTCTCTAGATTCTTTATTCTTAATTTTTGAAGTGGCTAAAGCTGACAAGCTTGCACTGCCTGAAAACCAGGAGACCCTAAGATGAACTTTAAATTGATCCTTCCTTCCTCGATTGATTTCTTTTCTGTGGGTTTGAGGAGTTTGACAGAAAACTCATTTCCTCTCACTTGGTGCAGATGGGAGTGTGGGAAGGGAGGAGAGGGAGCGGTTCTTTAAAGGTGGTGGTTTGTCAGACGTACATCTAAAAATCTCAAAAATAGATATTTAACCAATTGAGAAAAAAGAAATCTCATCTTACAAAATACAATCAAAAGTGAGATTGTTTTTTATACAAATAAGGTAAGCTACATGGAAAACAGCCTGAACTTCCCGATCCGTTGCTTCGGTCATTTTATTTTATTACACAAGATAATTTTTGAGGATAAGAGTGGAGAACAAAATGAACAAGCTGGGCACTTACCCTGAGGGTGATGGACCGAGGGGGCTTCTGGGGTGGATCGTCGTGCAGCCTGTCTCCCAGAGATGCCAAAATACGTTTCCTGTGGCCAATCAAATTGATTTTTAAAACCTGAAACGACATATATTTGGGTTAAATATTTCATTTGAGAAAAAATATTTTACATGTCTTAAAAGAGGAAAGAGTGAAGGGCTGTGCGCTGTTACCTCTGCCCCCTGAGAGGTGCGGTGTGAAGTCAGAGTGGGCCCTCGAGTCTGGAATGATGGGAACAGCATGGGCAGAGGCCAGGGTGGCAGTGGCCTGGGGGCAGGAAACGAGAGCAGGGACACCGCTCCTTTCGCTCGAGCTGCCCTAGAGTCCAGGTCTCCGCTCAGCAACCACAGCGCTTTCTAAAGGGTAAGTCGAGTCTTTTCCCTTACCAGCGGAAAACTCTCCAATAGCTTTCTATTGCTCTTATTTTTTTAAAAGATTTTATTTATTTATTTAAGGGAGAGAGAGAGAGAGCTCACAGAGGGAGAGGGAGAAGCAGGCTTCCCGCTGAGCAGGGAGCCTGATGCAGGAGACTCGATCCCAGGACCCCGGGATCATGACCTGAGCTGAAGGCAGATGCTTAACTGACCGAGCCAGCCAGGTACCCCTCTATTGCTCTTAAAATAAAATCTGAGTCCTGACCTGGCTCCAAAGCCCAATAGGGCTGGTTGCCCTCTGCCTCACACTGGTTTTCTCGGCTCCTTGAACATTCCGTACTCATTCTCACCTTGGGACCTCTATCCCTTTTGTCCAACTACCTGGAACTCTCATCTCAAGATTTTCAGATGACACCTTCTCATCTCTCTGGAGCTCAAGTGTTGTCTCCTCACAAAAGCCTTTTCCCTCCTCTCATTAAAAGAACCATGTCCTCAACCCCTGTCCCACTCTACCCTATGATCCTCTTTTTAACATTCTCTGAAATGACTTTGTTTAGAGGTTCAGTGTGTGTGTGTGTGTGTGTGTGTGTGTACCCCATCTCCCCCAGGTAAACTTCCTGCAAGCAGGGCCCTGGTCTATCTTTATCAGTATGATTTCCCAAATGCCTGAAGCAATGCTTGAAATAATAGGGGCTCAATGAATATGACACAATGAATGTTAATGTCGATGAAAGTTGCAGAGTAGGGTGAGAATCAAGCACTGCCCACCTGGGGGAAGACTCAGAGGCGCCCCAGAGTCTGATGGTGCTACAAAGGGCACACTGTGGAAGAGCTGACAAAGGGAACCAAGACTTGCAGACAGCCTCAGTCCCCATCCCCTCCTGGAGCTTTACAAATGCTACCCCTTTCACCATCCCAAAATCCTTCTCAGGAAGGGGTTCTTCTTGCTTTCCAGAAGAGGAGACTAAAGTTCAGAGTGGTTAAGTAACCTATCTAAGGGCCAGTACACGGTGGCTTTGGGATTTGAAACAGGTTTGCCGGATTCCAAAACTTGTTTTATTCCAAGGTAAACTGCAAAGTGTGGGCACATCTCCAAATATTACTGACTTTTTAAAACAGGGTATTATAAATCCATTCGTAAGAAATGCATTTACCTCTTCTCTGCCAATCTATAGTTTTAGGACAGAACTGGGACTATTTGGGTTACTAGTTCCTAAAGTATACTACCCCTAGTGTAAGTGATCTAAAAAAAAAATCTCTCTTCTCGAGTTTTAAAGGGGAGAGGTAGGCATTTCTTTGGCATTCATTCCATGCTACCTTGAATTTTTATGTGCCTCTTTGTCAGTTAGCCTATTGGCCTTTCTGCCTAAACTGATTCAGATTTTAAACCAGCAGTATGCTCTATTCCTTTCATATCTACTCTCTGACCCATGTCTACCGATGATGGGGATGGCAACTGTTAATCAAGGTGAGCATCCACATGTACCGTATCCCTATGATTTTGTGAACCTTCCCCCTGATCTTTGCAGTTGGCCTCCATAAAACAGCTCCTCTTCCCCACAGTTCATCCGAGTCCATCTCTGCACCTTCTCCTGCCCTGTCAGAGCTGCTTAAGGCTTGTGGAACAAAAGACTCATAACATTCCAGGTATAAGCGATCCATGGCTTCACATTTCAGCCAGATACTAGTTTTTGCTTTTAATGGCCCCCTTTAAATGTCCCTTTCCAAGCACTCCTGATTTCTGGCTGGCTTTTTAGCTGCAGTAGGCATAACTAGGGACAAAAATATACACTGACTTCGTTATAGCTGAAGTTCAAAGCCCTTTAATCTTGGAAGGATGGTTTGTATTACTTCTCCCTAAATTCCTTGCCCTACAGTTGTCCATGTAGAAGCCCATCTGCTGTCCAGAATTTGGCCTACTTGCGTAACCCTGTGTTGTCTTTCTGCATTTATATTAGCTGGCTTGGTATTTCACTACCTGGAGTTTAGTGGTTTTCACAAATCTGGAACTTCACCATATACTCCTCAGATGATTTATAAATATGCTAAAGTAAGTGTGGTCGCAGTGCTGATGACTTGCAGTGCCCATCACACTGTTTAGACAATCCAGAGAGATGCCCTGATATTTTTGCATTGTTTATTTTTTTAAAAAAAAAAAACCTCAAGATCGAAGAATTCCTCCATTTCAGAAAAACACAACATTAACCTTTTCAAATGTATTTGCAAGTCTAAAAAACACTACATTTTCTCGTTCCCTTTTATTCGTATTCTCAATTACTTTGCCAAAAGGCTTCTATCAAATATAAATTCCTCACGTAAAATCCCCACTGTCTTACTCCCAGTAGCTAGTTGGCCCTGATGCTCACGCTGCTATCTTGGGCCCCTGGGTCCTGCTAAGAGATGTTTTTATACTAATAAGGACATTCAAAATTACTCTGACAAATAACTGACACAAAATAACAAATAACTGTGGTAAGAAGGAGCTGGAGTAACCCCCCCACTGCTGCTTCTCCAATAATTACTCTCCAACAACTCCATTTGGGGCACGTGACCTGACTCTTCTGATCTCAGTTTTCGCACCTATAAAGTGAGGAAGTTAATGCTTTTGGGAATCCCAGCGTTGTTGGGAAGATGAAGAGTGAAACTGTGAGAATAACCAGCACAGGGCCTGGCACAGAGGAGATGCGACCTGCACGGTGGGCTGGACTCTAAGGATGCACAGAAATCCTGACCCACAAAGACAGGGACTTGGTGATTTTCAGAAAGTTAATCACGTCACACAAGTCCGCTGGTGTTTTGCAGGCAGAGATTTGGCTAACCTTGGAAAAACTCCCACTGAAGTGACACGTACTGGTAGGAATGGGTCTGGTTTCTAGCTATTAGTTTAATACTAGGACCTAATCTAAAAGAATGTATGCTATTCTCCCATGCATACTATTTAATCCCCACTAGGAGGTAAGCTGAGGCACTCCTCTATACTGCAGCTCCACTGCTTCCTCTTTCACAGAACTACCTGGAAGAGGGTATGAAAACAAAAAGAAAAATTATTACATTTCCTTACTACCTACAGCCCACTGACAAGTCCTCGGAACAGGCAGAGTGACCTTCCTCTAGGGACTCAGCTGCCTCGATGTTAATACTTTGCTAAGGGCAAAAGGCAATCTTAGCCCACCCCCAGGATCCTATAAGTCTAACATATTCCTTTGGAAACTTCCTTTATCTCTACCCCCCAGATACGTCTTGGCAATCATCCTCCAAGCATATGACCCACCGATAGACATCTGAAGGGTCTCATGACTGAGGGTTTGCTAAACAATAATAAATGACCTTTCCCAACAATCGCTAGCCCCCTCAGGATCCTGAAAACCTTGTTTCCAAAATACCTGGGAGGCTTACACCATCCCTAACCCCCTCCCAACTTGCAAGTATCTAGGGGGCCGCTCTTCATGACCCCAGGGCAGTTTTTCCTGCCCATGGGTCCTGTCCCCATGCTCTGTGCTTTAATAAAACCACCTTTTTGCACCAAAGACATCTCATGAATTCTTTCTTGGCCTTCGGCTCCAGACCTCACCTACATTCAAAACTACATCCGGTAAACAGACAGATTCACAGAATGAACAAATTAACACAGTGATGATTCATGTCAAAAACATCTGAGTAACTCCTTATTTATTAGAAATGATCCCATATTACTGAAGATAGCGATGATTACCATTTACTGAACATTTGCTATGTTCTAGTTGTGCTAGAAACTGTGCCAAGTGCATTACATATGTGCAAATATCTCATTTACTCCTTCCAATAATATTATCATTCTTAGTCTAGAGATACAACCTGAGACAGAAACACTGAGATCACACAGCTAACGGGAGGATGGCTGGGATGTGTCCCTGACTCTTAACCTGCTCTTTACCACTCACCACGCTCTTCTTGCCATCAGCCTCTACACCGTTTGGCCTTAGCTACGCTATTGGTCCCATGTTATGAGGCTTCTTAAAATGGTGCCTTTTTTTTTTTTATTTTGAATTATCATGTTGAAAGCATTTAATATTGTGTTTTGATCATCTGAAACCATTAAAATAATATAGCTTCAGTTCTGGACTAGGCTCATAGAAATGTTAAAGCTCCAGGCCAAAAGAGCTCAGGTGGGTACCTTACAGAATTCCTTGTGAAATGCAGACACAGACAAAGGACAGGAAGTCTTCATCAACCCAAGATTCGATCCAAGTTGGCTAGGATTAGAGTGCTAGGGAGGGTGACATTTGACTACAAATCTCCCAAGTTGACAATAAGAGATCTGATTGGCAAGACAATAACAGAGAGACTATTCCAAAGATAGTCATTATGGAAAAGTCAAGTCCCAAGGCAATTGGGTCTGCCTTGCATGAGAACAACTTAATATCCGATCATCGTTGTAAGCAGACAGGGTAGTAATGGAATCCTATCACCCCAGGCACCATAACTGATGACCAGTCAGTTTGCCAACCTTTGGTTTTCAAAAAGCCAGAGCAATGATTACTGTGGTAGAGAAGATTTCTGTATGGTTTTCATTACTGCTCGGGTGTAAGTGAACTGCTTGTCAAAGGAACCCATTGGGGACAATGGGGTAAAGTACTGGTAATATAGTGGGGATTTAGTTATTCTAAGGTATTGAGCCAATTCAGTTCAATTCAAAAACCAATATTGAGTTTCTGCCATGGATTA